TATATATATAATTATCTTCCTCTAGTCAAGTTCTGATCATCAAGCCATCGAAGCTAGGTCAAATGGGTACTAGCTACAAGTTTGTGCATCTCCCCTCACTTCACATCAGCAGGACACTTCACTGTCAGCTCTAGCCCTCCATGTCCTTGTCCATGGGCTCATGAGTCCTCAGGTCTCACTACACTTCAGACCAACCAGCCCTTCCTCTTCTTTCTCTCATCTCCAGGTTGATGGGAGTCTATGGAACATGGTCAAACTCAGCCCATATCTTCATTGCTGCCTTTCCCCCTCTTCCACTCACCAGTAGACCAATGTGGCCACCAGCAAGCTTACAGGCCTGCTCATGGGTTCCCTTTGAATTTCAGTCTTGGAGGAGGGCTTGTCCTGAAGGCACTTGATTGCTTGCCTTGATAGCTCCCCAGTGAATAACTTGCTTGTTCTTATAGTAGCCAATCAGACTGCCATTTTTGTTTTGGATTTTTCCTTCTGATCTTTCTTTCAAGAAGCATCTTCTGTTGTTCTAGCTGTTCCAGACTGATCTGCTTGTCCTTTCTAGTGGGAATGTCCTACCTCAGAAGGTTCTGGATGGGGCTCAGGATTCCACCTAAGGTCTTAAAGACTACAAAGGCTCCACAAGAAACCTATTTCACTGGGCAAGTTCTAGAACTCCTTTTAGGTATTCCAAGCAGTCATAGGCTGAAGATGGGCTTACAAGTTTTCTGTGCTCATGTTTCTCAATATTCCTTTCTATCCCACTCAATGTAAAAAAATATTTACAATAGTAGGCAAAGAAAACCAATATTAATAAGACAGTCAAGCGTCTTGACATTATTTCCCCTCTTTACCCATTCAGACTAAGGCATCTATATCTTTTAAGAGTTCCTCAGGTGATTCTAACGCACAGTCAGGACTAAGAACTGCTTGTCTAGGACAATCATGGCATCACCATACCATTTTTCCAGACACACATTTTCCCAGTCTCCTTTGCACTTTGAAGTAATCATGTGATACACCCTTTTTGTGTATGTGTGTGGGGAATTATCATTTTTTCTAAGAGTAATACAAGTATTGTTGAGAGAAACAGGAAAAGAGCTATGCTATAGCATTTTTATATTTATGTTCAATACTAGAATTTCCAAATTGTTTTATAAAATAACCCAATTACTACTTTCATTAGATTTCTATTTTTCTGGTTCATTAAAAATGAACTCTAGCCTCTGAGGACAGAGAAATCTTCAGTTTATATCTAACTAGGGGTCTTTTTTTAAAAAAAAACAAAAAACCTGTGTTACTTTGTGTGTGTGTGTGTGTGGCCTTTGTTTTTTTTGGGGGGGTGTTGCATTTTTATTGTGAATTGAGTGATAGTTTACATGAGAGAACATTGGTTTTACACTCATTGTTTCTTTGCAATGATTACAATCTCCTCCATGCATCATCATTCAACAGTATTTGCTTCCATTCCCTCTGTTTTATGTGATCCACTCTTGATCAATGAGATGGAAAGATAGTCTTCCAGGGGCTTCTGAGAACTACTTTGCCTCCTGTTTGTGAAATAATAGTAGTATCAAAACCAGTCTAACTTCAGGCGGGATCATGAGAATCAAGATAGGCCCAAAGCTCACTCCTATGGGGTAGAGGCCAGACATACCTCCAGTCTCTCCAATTCAGACACCGGCCATCTTTTCCCGGGCACTCTCTACTTCTCTGCTGGATTCAGTGCTATGTTGCAAAGGCCACACAGAACTCACAGACCACGGAAGTTACCGAGTACATCTCAGGATCAGGACCGCAGGCTACATCAGGAGCAGGAGCATGGAGACCAAGTCCAGAAAGCTCCTCTGAAGTGGACAGCACAGCCCTCCCTTCTTCAGTGCCGGTCAGCTCTCTCAGGGGTGCAAATTCCTTCTCTCTGCCATGCAGACCCCCTCAGCCCCCAGAGGATAGGCCCCTCTAGATCATAACATGACAACTCAATGCTCTAAGTGTCAGGAAGCAGAAGATGCTACACTTCTCTCATGCTACATAAAGGATGAAACTGGAGCTGGCAAAACACAACGGCATTTCCACCAAAGGAGTCTCACAGCCCACTCAGATTCTAGAAGGTGGAGAAATAGAGCCTCACCTCTCGGCAGGGAAGAGCAAAGGGCAGGCAGTATGGCATCCTTGGAAAGTAAAGTCTGCTACTGCAGAGCAGAGGTGAGTCAAATGAAGCCTAGTTGTTGTTGTTAAGTGCCCTTGAGTTGGTTCTATGTAGTGACCCAGTATAGCGACCCTGTATAGGGTTTCCAAGGAGCAGCTGGTGAGCTTGAACCACCGACCTTGTGGTTCAAACGGACTTTGCAGTCCAGCGCATTAACCCACAGCACCACGACAGGGCACTAGAAGTCTAGTTCAGTGTCTATTTTTCACAGGAATACCTTGATGAACAATTCCCATGTGTGAGTCATTTGGGTATTACCACCTTTGAGAATTTGTTTCTTTTGTTCTACTGGTGTACCATTTAAGCTATTATAAATGTGATATATATATATATATATTCTTTTTAACAGATATACTTTGTATTCTTAAATGCATCTTCCATTGGCTAAGTGCGGAAACTGCCCCAGGCTGAGCTGTTCCACCTCTGAGGAGTGGTGAGGAAGGGGCAACCATCCTCAGCCAAGGTCATGGCCAAATGAACTGGAGCACGATTCCCTCCCTTCTTCAGCCTTTGTCCCATCTGTGTCTCACCAAGTGCAAGCAAGGACCAAGGGAAGGGGCCCTATCATTCAGCACAAGTCTGTAGAGAAACCAGCACTGCTGTTCAACACCAGATGTACCTGAGACTGTCTCCTCCCTGTACCTTTCAGTGGGTGTATCCAAAAGCTAATGGCGCTCACAGCGCACCTCCTCAAGGACTTCCGTTGCATGAAGATGCAAGTCTGCACTCAGCCATTTACTCACTTTGTGGCTTTGGAAAATTCATATCACTAGCTGAGTCCCAAGTTTCTCACTGTGGGCTGGAATTCAGACTCCTTAAATCACATGTCTTTTGTCTAGGCTGGGCTGGGCTTAGCAAAAACTGTTGATTGAAGTGCCTGCATGTCACTTAAGCTTCTCATAGCATAGCCTCCCCAAAGCACCTCAAAATCAAGCATCCCAGCGTGAGTGCTCTGAGAGGACCAGGTGGAAGCCACATGACTGTAAATAGGGATCAGAAAAGGTGCTTTTGTAGTGGGCATCTGTTACTTTTGTTAACACTGTTCCACCACCATGGAGGTGATCCCGCATGTTACTCTGGCACCAGATGCTAGTATGTTAGTACTATGCCACTTCCGGTTCCCAGGTCTGCCCAATCCCTGTTCCTGGGACAAGAGTGAAGTAAGTAAGGCACCTACGGGCCAGAATGAAGGAGAATGGTTCCAGCACTAACCTCAAGCCCA